TTCTAAATTATCGAATTTTGAATACTAAGAATAATATTTGCGAATAGTTTCATTAATTTTTTTTTAATTATGTACATTACTTGTAAGTGATGAGTCCCCAGTGTTCCATGTCCTTAACCGGAAAATTTGGTATGATGAAGTGATCCATTTTCGGTACCTTTTCGGAATTATTGATGTATTGGATCAAGAATGGCGTAACCATTTCAGTGATATTAAACATAAATGTCATTTGCGATATCAAAGACGATCTGCACCACACATTGATGGTTTCTTTCTCGTTGGAAAGATGGTGAAAATCAATCATGGGGAATACGATAATCTCTACAAGGTAAGTGGACATTATTGGAGAAATGTTGAAGTACGTACAGGTCATATCATTTTCAAAAAATTCCCTTTGTACTAGAGGCATATTTGACAATGCCAGATATTTCACATGATGCATTATAGAAATGTTAAAGATGGCTTTTAACGCGGGTTCGTCCCAACACGGAAACATTCGTCTAGCTCCTTTCGGCTCCGAATACGATGCAACCAATCTACAATTTAATAAAATGTTTTAAGTAATGACAAATTTTCACTTACATTGGATGATATAAAAATTTTAGGAACATTCAGCATTTATATTATTATATGATAATATTAGGTCATTTAAAAAGTATCCGCAGTTTTTTGTTCAATTTTTGAATGAAAAAACCGCGGATACTTTTTAAATAACCCATTATAATAATTTTTTTTAAAAGAAAAATTGATACGTAATATTTTTCATTTTTAATTAAAGCTACTAAATATTACATTATACACACAATATATATATTCTAATATTAATTATTACTTAATATATACATTATAATTACATTTACATATTGAAAAATGTTTTTAAATATATTTGCAAAAAATATATTTTACAACATGTTATCGAGTATTTTTAATATTTTACAAAAGTTTATATAATACTTTTTAGTATTTTAACGTTTTATACTTACGTATTATTTTTTCCTTTATTTGTATATGGAAACATTATAAAACCACTTTCGGAAATATTATTCTCATTTATAATACCGGCAAATTTCATGTTAAGAGTGTAAAAGCCGGGTGACAATGCATTTTTGAAATTGAGTGTCAAGATATCCGTTTTATTGTCATGGGAATGTTCTGTTGGTTTATAAACTGTACCGTTGACATTAATTAACTTTGTCGCCATTTCATTTAATTCTAATTCTTTTGAATGCAAGCTTATATTATTTAACGATGCATAACGAATCTCAATTTCTATATTGGATTCACCGTGAAAAGTAAAGTTCTCTTCTTCAAGATTCATTAACAGAGAAATGTTATAGAATAATGGTACTGTATTATTGGGTAAACGGATAATTTTTAAATTATCCGTTTTGTTGGTACAAAAAACGCTGTTTGTGATCAGTATTATATGTAAATTGACAAGTGTTGTGAGATTTAATAATAAGTTTAGAAATCCCATGTTGATATCTGTTTTAAATGCCTTTAACTTACAAATTTAACATAAAAGTGTTTTTCCAATTGCAATTTTTAATGAGAGCTGCAAGAAATGTAATAATTTTAGCATATTGTCCGAAAACGTTTTCTACACATAAATCATATGGGATTCTTTAGTAGTTTTTTTGGTTTTGGCATTCTTTAAATAGTTTTTATGACGATATTTATATTTTTTTAACAAGAGATAAATATCTATCGAATTATTTTTTTTAAACTACTTACTTTATGTATTACACCCTTCTGCTGATTAAAATACTGTTGAATTTTAATAGTTATACAATTGACTAATAGTCTCGCAATGAGCCATTAATATCAAGAATATATTAACATAATTGTGAATACCGTTTTATCATCTCGAAAGATCCTCAAATACTGAGTTTACAATTTCACTGTCACTGATACAATAACATATACATAATGTTATGTAAATACATAAGTATGTATTTGTAAGGTCGTGTCAATATAAAAGATGTCCACATTTTAAACTGTGATTTTATGTTTTCAGTAACGTATAGTGCGACTTATATCGATAATTGGACTGGACGTTAAATCTTAATCGAGCAGAATTAGAAGTGAATTCCGTTTCATGCATATGATATATTTACATGATATATTATTTTATTCTACATGATATATTATTTTACTCTCTAATATTGATAGATATTAAAGATAGGATGATGTATTGAGGTGTATTATATGTGTATGAAACAAAACACACACATAATTTAACAATCTGCATTTTACTTTCAAGGAACATACAAAGATTAATTGTAACAAAAAAAAATCGTCATCATTTTGATGTACACTTATTTTGACTTTCTCTTGACTTGATGTGTTTTTTAGATATATATTTTATACTTATTTAATAATAATAATTATTAATTATATAAAGCTATTTTTATTACAGATAACTCATCATTACATCATCATTGCAAGGTGACGTCATTACTTATTTCTTATATTCCAAATCGAGCAAGTATACGTTGTAATAATAATAGTAATACTGTAAATAGCTTAAGTATCGTTGTTAGAATAAGCGATATTATTATAAAAAAATTATATTTAAATAGTATTATATTTTTAACAACAAAGACTATTTATTTAATTACATGTGCTCGAGCTGTATCAAATGTAATAATCAGAATACTATGGTTATAAAAATATTTTATTAGGTGTTGGAATTAATTCGTAGCGTTTTACAAGTGATGGGAAGTACTTTCATTAATGTATTTTTTAATGCTCATGTGAAATAAA